CCATTTTGAGCAGAAAAATGCTCAGAAACGCAAGACAAAATGCGTGAAAGGGCTCAAAAACATGGAAATCGAGCGCTTCAATGCATCGCTATTGAGAAGAAAACACCCATAGTGTAATTTGAATAGGTAACAAGATTTATTGAGCAAAATGTGTACTCACAAGTGACATTGGGATAGGTGAGCAAACCTTGGATATAATGGCAAGCAAGCAAGGAAGTGTCTTGAACTCCAGGTTTAGCCACCGACTGGGGAGGGGGCCAGATCAAGATGTCTCCAGTCACTGTAGCTAGCTCTCTAGCAAGCACAGTGTACTATTGTCTATTGTTGGGCTGCTCACATTTCCCTATCACACTATTATTATTATTATTATTATTATTACTATTGTGTTAGGTCCATAGAACTGCCTTATCAGGCACAATCTAGACCTAATCAGTGTGTCACATCAGCTTTCATTTCACCAGAGATTCTGTCACTCCCTCTGTTGACCATTTCCCTGGTTCTTGGTGTGTGCTGTATAATCGGCTTTGCGGATCGGTATTCAGTTCATTCTCTAACCTAACTTGCAAAGCGAACAGCTTATTTACCTTTAGTAAATCAATGCCATTTCTTTTTTAATGAGATAATAGAAGTCACAAAAACCATTGAATGTGTGACCTTTTGAAATCCCTAAAGGGTAAGTTCATCTTTTGACAGAAATTTTATAAAGGGAAGCTAACTCCATATAGCCTGGACATCCCTCTAGAGCCTGCTGTATATAGCAACCTTGATGGCCCTTGCTACCGGCATAGCATTCTGTACATCATACACTGCAATGTACAGCCTGGGGTGAATATCTATCATAATGCTTGCAATGGCAAGCACGTGCTGGTCAGCTTACCCGTGAGACCATATTGACCAATGAGAACAACAACACATCCAAGTCTTCTTCTGGTAAGGTGTCCAAGAAGAAAGAAGTGCCACTCATTGTTTAGTGTGGTCACATGGAGCTCCTGCCATTGCAAGCATTATGGTGGATATTCTGTCTCTCCAATCTAAGCATTGAAAGTGTGATCTCTGTAACTTAAGTTGTGATGAGATAGCGATAACTTCAATCTTAGTTGAATACCACAGTCAGCGACTCAATCGGGAAGACATCTTGTAGATCTTGTGAAGTTTATTCAGTAAACTGACAGAATCTTACAACAATGAACATTCGATAGGTCAAAAGATCATAATGTGACCTGCTTCCTGACATGAGGCTAGAAGCTGCAATGCCTCTCTGGGAAAAAGGGTGGGCTATCTATACAGCATTAACTAAACCAGAGGAAAGGGAGGAGCAGAAACAAAATATAGAGAACACTTAAAGGCTTATGACAGTCTTGTGAAACATGATAGTGGATATTCATTCTGGGCTCTGTATTGTGGTGCGTGTTGTATGGATCCTTACAGCGGCATCATTGCTGCTATCCTGGTGGAGCAGGATATCTGGAGCTAATTCACTTTTTTATTTTACATGAAAATGATGAACTTACCCATTAAGGTACCCAAAGACATGAGCTGACACTTATCCGATCTGGAACACCAACACAACTGGCCAAGAATCCTCAAAGGGAAAATTGTTTGTATAGGCTAAACGTTCTTCTCTGCTTGCTACAGATCATCCCAAGACATGCCCACAGTGGAGTTGCATGCATGTAATTTCCTTTCTCTGTTATACAGCTATAAACATGAATGGAATCAGAAATAGGGGGAACCCAAGCTTTAACATGAAAAATATGTATCTGATGATAGACCTACAGGACCGCCCTATAGCAGATATACTGCTACAGGGTGGCCCTCCTGTGTAAAATCACATAAAATATACATGATTGTGCACTTCCGCCTAGGGAATGTGCATGTGTGCAGCCGGTGGGCTGCTTCAGTTGTGATTACTCACAGCAGAAACTGATCTGCAGGTTCCGGGCAGTGGATGTCCGCCGGCACCCACCGATCATTGAGCAGAGACACAGAACGGAGCTCTGCCTGAGTAAACAAGTGATGGCTCTTGTGTTCCTGCAAAGCAGGGAATAAGATCCATCACTTCACTTAGTAAAATCAGCACACAGAGTACACAAAACACATAGCTAGGCACACCTTTGATCACCCTAGATGTTTAACCCTTTCCAAACCAGTGTCATTAGTACAGTGTCAGTGCATATTTTTAGCACTGATCACTGTATTAGTGTCACTGATTCCTACAAAATGTCAAAAGTGTCAGCTAGTGTCTGATTGTTCGCCGCCATATCGCAGTCCTGCTTGAAGTCACTGTTCGCCACCATTACCAGTATAAAGAAATTAATAAATACATTAAAATTTCAGTATATATACCATAGTTTGTAGACGCTATAACTTTTCCGCAAACCAATCAATATACGCTTATTGGGATTTTCTTTTACTAAAAATATGTAGCAGAATACTTTTTGGCCTAAATGTATGAAGAAATGTGATTTAAAAAAAAATATTGGATATGTTTTATAGCAGAAATTTATATATATATATATATATATATATATATATATATATATATATATGTGTGTGGTTTTTTTTTTTTTTGTTTAACCTCCCTGGCGGTATGATTCTTTCCGATTTTTTGTGCTGAAAGCGGTACCATTTTTTTGCATGGAAATATGTAGTTTTTTATTGTAGGCTGTAATTCTTAGGAATACCTCACTGAAATCTGTCCGAACAAGATTCTATTAAACATTCCAGATATGATAAAATTTGAAACACGAAATCATAAATTATAATTTAATAAATAATCATAAAAAATAATAATATAATAATAATAAATTTAATTCAATAATATAATCAAACCAAAAACACTGAAATTTGAAATACAGAGGCAAATTCACACATCGCTGAGCAAAGTCGCAAAATTGTTTTCAGTGGCTGATGACGAATTTCCCCACAAATCATTATTTATTTATTTATTTATTTATTTATTTATCGAGTTTATATAGCGCCAAAGGGTTTGCTCAGCGCTGTACAATAGAGGGGGGGACAATACATGAAACAGAACAGTAATATCTAACAGCACACGAGGGGTTAGAGGGCCCTACTCTTTCAAGCATTATCACTCAATTCTGCAAGTGGTTCTGATTTACTATCACTGCTCTAAAACCGCTTTTGACGTAAAGGGACGCTTTTTGGACGCCATGGACTTTTCTAAGTTTCCAGGCAGAAAGAACATTCAAAATGCAGGCAGGGCGCCGGACAAAGCAGTGGGGACAAAATATATGTGAAATGCATTGAAATAGCAATGACAGCAAAAATGACATTTTTTAAAAAATTCTAATATCCCGCCGGTTCCGGCACCCGTACGTCCCGACGTCACAGGGACCGGAACACAGAAGCCGGGATGCTGGCATCGGCCGGAGGAGATGGCCGGAGACGCTGCAGGGGACACATCGTGGGAGCGAAGGACAAGGTAAGTGCTGCAGGGACCCCCAGAGAACGCCGCATGGTAAGCCCGAGTGTAGCTCGGGGTTACCGCTCTTGGTATAGAAATTTTACCCCGAGCTATACTCGGGATTACCGCTAAGGAGGTTAATTGTCTGTCTTTTTTTTGTTTACAGCACAAAAAAATCCAAAATGCAGTGATGATCAAATACCACAAAAACAAAGCTCTTTTTGTGGGAAAAAAATGACATAAATTTTATTTGGGTACAGCTTTGCAGACCCGCACCATTGACAATTAAATTAATGCAGTGCCGTATTGCTAAAAATGTCCTGGTCATGGGGGGGGGGGTAAATCTTCCGGAAGGCAAGTGGATAACTACAGTAGGATTTGCTTATCATGTTTTGTTATATTACCCATGGGAAAGTCCCAAATTGCAATAGCATTTTGATTTACTTACTCATCTAACTTTACGAGAATCCTAAAACATCTGTAAAATGAACTGAATTGAAAAGTAAAATTTTTATTCGTATTTCACATTTTTATCTGTGACTACTTAAGGTCAGCAACTTATGACACAGCTTCTCTGTTAATTACCAGCCGTAGATACGTATTTTGAAATTAATGGCATCGAGTGAAGTTGCCCAGAACTTCAGGGTACCCATAATTTATGTATTACGAAGAAAATAAATAGCAATATAAATAGTACCATAACTTCATTGAACTGCTATAAAAAACACAACATTAATAAGACCCGCACTAAAATTTTCAGCAGGACGATAATATACTATAGTTTGATTCATCACATTCTTCATCTCTCAGAGATGGTGCTGTAAAATATATCATAAATTTATCTTAAGCTTTAAAATGTGTGCTGCAGAAGTGATAAGGGGAACAGCAAAGGCAAGTTATTTTTATATTACATAACACATTTCTTAATAAATGCATTATAAAAAATGTCCACAACATGCAACACTCATGTTACAGATATGGTATGGGAAGCTTAGGAAGACCTTTAGCATTCTTTCTTTTAAATTCAGGGCACATCTGCAGTGCAACTATGAAAGGACCCTTTTGGTCATTGGTGTCAAGAATAATCAATAATCTGTCACATGTCATAAATGCACAAATACAATCACCCTTATAAATACAGTAAGTATAGTGGTATGAGTGTAAACTGTTGCTAAAATGATATAAATGAAAATACATTTGATATATTACTTCTTTTTTTAAATATAATTCTTTAAGAGCAGCAGAGGATAGGTTAGAGGGGAGAGGTCAAGGAGAGGTATATTGGAGGATGAATTTTAAGGTTTTTATGGGTTAGGGTTGAGTAGTTTTTATGCTGATGAATGTATGTAATTATGTATTAAATAAAGTGATTTAGCAGCATGGCAACTTATTTGATGGAACTTGATCTGATGGGCTGCAGGAAGAGGTACAACCTCGAAACGCCACCAGCTATCCAGAGGCTCACAGTCCCCCACCAGACCACCCACAGGAGTTCCTGAACCACTCTGCATCCCTTGCAACATGCTTCCCATTTTAATTTGATTTTACATTTCTTTGTGAGTATTTTACAATTTAGTAGCCTCCCTGGTGGTATTCCCGAGTGTAGCTCGGGGTAAAGTTTCAGCACCACAAGCGGTAACCCCGAGCTACACTCGGGCTTACCATGCGGCGTTGCTCCATGATCTGTTCTTCTCTTACCTTGACCTGCGCTCCCGCGATGTCCCTCCTGCAGTGTCCCCTGTAATGTCCTCCGCAGATGCCGGCATCTGTCTTCTGGGTTCCGTCCCCTGCGACGTCGGGCTGTACGGGGACAAAATTTGAAAATGACAAAAAGTGACGTTCACTAAATACACTAAAATCACATAGTATAACATTCCTGTATCAAACCATTTCATATACATTTTGTCCCGAGTGCTTTGTCCTGTGTCCTGCCTGCATTTTTACTGTTCTTTCTGCCTGGAAACTGAGAAACGTCCATGGCGTCCAAAAAGCATCCCTTTAGGTTAAAATCGGGTTTAGATCAGCTAGAGAACAGCGAAAGTAAATTAGAATCACTTGCAGAATTGAGTGATAATGATTCGTGGGGGAAATTCCTCATCAGACACTGAAAACGATTTTGCGACTTTGCTCAGTGATGTGCGAACTTGGTGCTCTATTTCACATTTCAGTGTTTTTTGGTTTGATTATATTATTAAATTAAATTTATTATTATTATATTATTATTTTTTATGATTATTTATTAAATTATAATGTATGATTTTGTGTTTCAAATTTTATCATACCGGGGATGTTTACTAGACTCTTGTTCGGACAGATTTCAGTGAGTTATCCCTAAAAATTGCAGGCCTACAGTAAAAAAAATACATATTTCCATGCGAAAAAATTGTACCACTTTGAGCACAGAAATATGGACATAATCAGACCGCTAGGGAGGTTAATAAATCCCTTTTTTTAAGGTAATGCACTAGGCCTGTGCGCACTCTCTTTGTTTTCTATATGCAGAATATTTTCTGCACAAGAACACCAAAGTCGAAGAAGCTCCACCAGGGTAAAACTGGATGAACCCTATTCATTGGAGTCTGTTCACTAGTGACATAGCATATTTATTTTTGGCCTTTGTGACAGTAAACTGATTGGTGGGGAAATGGTGGGAACAGAAGCAATGTGAGGAGCTGCAACAAGAGAGACAAACATAGGCAGGTGGTACTGTTGTAAAAGCATGGCACTGTTAGTTATTGGACTACCTCTGTTTCCACTGGAGTTGAGAGATTCCACAGCTTATACGATAAAACAGAAGGTAAAGCACCAGAAAAATTTGATAGAGAAACCCTAAAATACAAAATCCTTTACTAATTAAAAATAAATTGCAGAAGTACCTTCGTATTGATTTTTAAATATGCAAAATCCCATTCTGCATCCTATATTAAAAAATGTAGCCTAGGTGGAGGGATTGCTGCAGAGGTTCAGTTGGCAACATGTAATGAAATCATATGACGATGGGTGAATAACCCTATGATACAGTCAATGGAATTACATAGGAAGGAACTTTGCTGTCATTCAGCCTCTATGGAAAGAGGGAGAGGTTAAGAGGTCTCAAAGGCTTCCAAGACTACTTCAGTACTTACTCCTAGAATCGCTACCGTTTTTCTCTGATGCCAACACAACAGCCCACACATACTGTTAACTGGATTGGGACTGAAATTTAGCGACTGATATAGGAAAAATTCTGTCTGCAGAACATTATTGTAAAAAAAAAGGTGCATTGATTCGGGTTAAGAATTTCTACAGATGTTAGTTTGCCAACATAACCAGACCAGTTTCAGGAACTCAGGTAGCATCACATAATGTATAGTTTTTTAAAGATAGACAGCATTAATGGCTTAGAACGTTGTCAGGGCTCCCGGGTGTGACCAGAGGTATGTGACTGACGCAGGGAAACGCAGACTTCAGATATGTTATAAACAATATAATTTATTAACACTAACAATACAAACATAAACGCAGTGCAATACTAAAACATAACACAGTGCAAACAAACCAAACCAACCACCCACAGATAACAATACATACAATGCAAGCGTCGTCAGGCAGGCCGGGTCAATATCAATCGGGCAGGTAGGTACAGGGGGAGCAAGCGGAGAATGGTCGGGGTCACAGGCCAGGTTCAGCAGGTAGCGGGCAGCGTGGTACAGAGGGTCAGGCAGAGGGATGGTCAGGGTCACAAGCCAGGGATCAGAACAGGAGAAGTCAGCAGAGGTCAGAATCAAGCAGGGTCAGCAACAAGACAGGAACAGGAACAGGAACGCAGGTTTACAAGATACAGGGCCCAGGAAAAAACACACACCAAGGCAGAGTCTGCAGGTCTGAATGTCCCTTAAATACACCAGTATAATTAGTTCCAGGTGTGTGACTGGCTGCAAGGTTGAGTCTCTGATTGCTGGGAGCACCCGCTGGCCAGCCCTGGTACTGCAGCTCATAAGGCAGGTGAGTCCCACTATTGCTGGCCAGTCCATTCCTGACAAACGTCATGTTAACAACTCCAAGCCACCAACCATAGGATTAATCACATGGTTGTAATAAAAAATGCTGGGTGCAATAACTAAAAGCAAGTCATATACTCGCACACAATCAACATGTAATCATGCAGGTACCTTTTAATCAGCATTTACACCATTACATATTCTATGCATGTGAAACACCCTCTACCCAATGAACACCTGCCCTGGCACATCATAGCATTCACCCGGCACTCCAAGATATAACAGAATCCCACTGCAATATTCTTGCACTGTCAAAACCTCCACTTTTATTATCACACGACACGCAGGAGGATATATCTTATAGTCATCACAATCTGCATAATAACACACACCAATAATAATGTGAGCATTACAGCATGAAACAGACACATCATTTGACAGCGTCACAGCATATAATTACCAAAGCTATGTTAGAAGCTGGGAGGAACAAATCCTATCAGAACCAAATTGCCCAGGGGGTCACGGAGAAGCCCGAGGCGTGACTAGTCGATGAGCCCATATAGCCTTGACAAAAATCCCAGCATCAGAGCGTCCTTTGGCCACTAAAGGGGGGAGGGGCTTAAACTGGTCTCGCCTGGACCTCCGCCTTATAAACCAATTTTCTGGAAGCTGTCCAATAGTGGGCGACGCTAAACCCACCACAGGAGGAGCTAGCAGAAGGGTTCCTCAAGGATAACAGAATCATGTTCAACCACCATATTCGCTATCTGAAAAGTCACACTTTTGCTTCTTATCTACCCCAAAACCTCTTTTCATCTCCCCCAGACATAAGTATTTCTAACTTAGATATTTTTAAACAGGTTTTTATCTCCTAATGTGAGGTTACTAGATGTCATAAACACATTTCATTCCATCAACAAGTTTTTATCTTTCTCTTAGCAGAATATCTTGTGAGTTTGTTCCTTTGACCTAGAGAAATGACATATAAGTCACCTCTCATGCCCCTGGTATTTGGGCAACAATGCTTTATTGTAAAAATTACCCAAGAAACAAAGGGTCCAAGGCCAACACATTTCAGAAGCATTACACTGGTAAATGTAAATTGTATTTTTACCTGGGAAAATGAACTATATTTTTTAACTCTAGTACAAATATTATTATACTATACTATGGAGAATGCTATAGTAAACATAAGAATATCCCAAACTTATCTTGGGGGAAAGTCTTAGTCATTAACTAAGAAAGTTAACCCAGTGACTGACTTTTCCCAAAGAAAAACCATTGAGGGATTCTGCAGAAATTGCACATGGAAGCCATAACCGTCTTCATCAATTTGTCTAAAATTGGATTACCAGTGGTCTTCCTCATTGCTAAAAAAAATGTAAAATTTCTTATTGCTATGGTAAAGTAAGTACAAAGTTTGCAGACTGTTGACTTTACAATGATGTTCGTAGAGCATGAGTATACAATACATAAAATACTACTCTATAAGGACTGCTCCAGGATACATGGCCATTCACTGCACAAATTCTAGATTATAGAGCCAACAGCTTCAATAAAAGGGATGGTTATATCACCAACAACAAAGCAAGAGGATTATTCACAGTAAACTAAGTCAAGTGTGGAGTTCAGTATACTTGGAAAATGCGATAGAAGATAAGAATTGTACATTCAGGGAGAAAGATAAACCACACAGAGGCAAAGGCACAGAAAGAGATGCCAAAAAGTAAGAATATAGAACTATTGATCAAGGGAGAGATTGTACTGACATTTTCAGACTAAGAACCTTTAAAGAGCACAGCTACTTTCCACAGTCAGATAAAGAGCCAGCTGACAGGCGGGCTGCAAATACGCAAAGTGCAAAGAGCTGTAGCATTAATGCATACGGTTTTAAAAGATATATGATGAATGGGGTCTCTGTAGCTGATGCAAATAAACCTCATTTCAATAGAGAATTTCTGGCAAAATGCATACTTGTATCTGCTTTTTGTTTTCGGATACATGATTTATGAGAAAAAGTAATGCTGTGCATTGGATTTGAGCCGTAGCAGTAAGTAAAGCTTTTCTCAGATAAATTGCTGTCTCTCTGTTTTCTGACCTACAAATTAGAAATGAAACTCAAATTTGTTTTAAGAGTAAAAATAAATTCCCAATAGCAGTCTGCAAAATAGAAGAATATCTTTAGGTTATGCTATGTTAAGATTGAATTTATTCTCTCTTGAGAAGAGGAGATTAAGGGGGGATATGATCTCCATGTATAATACATAAGGGGGATATGATCTCCATGTTATAATACAAAAGGGGGATATTGATCTCCATGTATAATACATAAGGGAGGGATATGATCACCATGTATAATACATAAGGGGGGAAATGATCTCCATGTATAATACATAAGGGGGGGGATATGATCTCTATGTATAATACATAAGGGGGGATATGATCTCCATGTATAATACATAAGTGGGGATATGATCTCCATGTATAATACATAAGGGGGGATATGATCTCCATGTATAATACATAAGGGGGGATATGATCTCCATGTATAATACATAAGGGGGGTATGATCTCCATGTGGAATACATAAGGGGGGATATGATCTCCATGTATAATACATAAGGGGGGGATATGATCTCCATGTATAATACATAAGGGGGATATGATCTCCATGTATAATAATACATAAGGGGGGGATATGATCTCCATGTATAATACATAAGGGGGGATATGATCAACATGTATAATACATAAGGGGGGATATAATCACCATGTATAATACATAAGGGGGGGATATGATCTCCATGTATAATACATAAG